TGCAAAACCACTAGTTCTGCTTTTTTTTTTTTTTTTTCCAAAAGGAAAATGCAGACCATTGAACAGAACGGAACAGATTGACTCACTGTGGCCAGAGGTCGGGCTGCAGCAGTTGTGAAAAACCTCATTAACTTCCATCCTCCTCCAAGCCAGTTTGGATATTGGAAATTATAAATCTGCACTGATTGCTGGATGTGGATTCTCACCGCAGTGTTTGCTATCAATGTGTATTTGCAGAAGTCATATCTGCACTGGTGCTTTAACTTCTTTTCCCTTTCATCTTCGCTGGAAACAGTTTCTGACTTGGCTCTCGTAAATGTGTTACTAACCACTATTTGGTTTTTGCTGAGCCTAATTCATATTGAGTTATGTTCATTCATTTTCAGTAACCTGATTTCAGGCTTTCATTGCTATGTGACTGAAATTGTGATGTTTCATTTTTCTTTTTTCTGTCCTTTCTCTACATATACTGTAGTAAAATGGAGTTAAAACTACTCAAAACTCCTTGTGCATTTTAGAAATCAGACCCAATCACATGCACACACTCTTAACACTCATGAATTATTGTAGCTTTGATTTATTTTAGCAGTGATAGAAAAAATGAGTGAGCGTAGGACTTACAGGAGGAAAAGTGGGAGAGTAATGCAGGGTTTCTCTCTGTAGGGGATTTAGCCTCGGTGCAGTTTGAGATGCTGTTTGGAGTTTTAAGCTGCGGCCTGAATAGAAACAGGGGAGAATGAAGTCAGGAGATCATCCATGGTGACATTTTTACCCCCAGAGCCTGGAGTCAAACTGTACCTGTTTGGAATTCACTTTGAGTCTCAGTGTGTTTAACTTTCAACACAATATAATCAATATAAAAATATTGATGAGGTCTGAAAACAGCTGTATTCTCCTCCTCAACAGTGAGGAAGAGCTGAGCTGTCTCATGGTCACAAGATGATGAATGACTTTTAGCAGAAAAATAATTTCACCTTTCTGGTCCTGGTTGATGGAGCTGAAAGTGAAGCTGTGCTGGCACAAATGTCGTGAAATGTTGTGATGTTGGAGAGTGGTCCATTAGGAAGCAGGCTGGGGAGTGCACTGGGACTTTGTGTGTGTAATTGTGTTTGGAGCTTTGGATGAGTCAGTGAGGGTCTCAGGGTTAGTGTCTAGACAAGGCACGCCTTCCCAGTATGTTCCCCTCCAGAGGACTTTAGCTTACTGAGCTCACTCCACTGTGCCTATGTACTGTACCTTCTTGTTGTTTCATCTGTTTTCTGTGGTTATTCTAATTGTTACTACAGTGTAAATTATACTGTAGTTTTCATTGAGTAAAAGGGCAAATAGTTGTATTTTATAAACAAATATTTTTGTTTGCATGTTTGGTTTCAGTTTGGTTTACACTGTTTTTTCTGTTTGCCTGAGCTACACCAAGTGGCATATACAGAGATACATATCTGAAGTATAGGATCTATCTGTTTGTTCATGTACTTCCTTCAAAACACCCGTTCCTCCTTTCACAGTCGTTTATGATGTGCGTGAGTGTGCATGCAGACTTTGATTCTTCATGGTGTTTTCCCTGCCTCACACTTTTTAGTTTGCCATTTTTCCCTCAGTCTTTCTAAACTTCTGATTGCGTGTGGATATTAGAAGTTGCCCAGTGCTTTAGAAATTCTTTATCCCCCCCGACATCCTTTTTGCTGCCCATGGCTGCCTCATGTTTTTATTCATGCAGTCTTATTCTAACTGAAGAGTTCATTAATGTTGGCTGTTGCCTTTTTAAGATGCCTCATGTATGAAGCTGTTCTCATGGGTAAACATCTCATATACATGAACGTGCATCTCTACAGTGAAACTGTGACAATAATAAATATTGCACTTTAAAATAATAGATACATTAATTTCACAGATTGTGCTGTATACACTCTAAATCTTACATACAGCCTGATCTCCACTCCATTGCACTGGTCCTATGTTGCTGTGTACGCTCTTAAAATTAAGTCTGACGTACATTTTGTCCCTGAATGTTTTGACAAAAGGTACAATTTTATGTAATTATTTTCAGACTCGGAACTTGTCCTTCCTCATTTTGTCCTTCCTCAGTAATCCATCATGGCAGTGCTGCACTAACAGTTGATCAAGAGCTCCACTTGAAATGCATGTTTTGAAATAAGAAGAGTATCAGTCAGACTATGTTGATGACATGAATGTAAGTCATGTTCAACATTTTAGTTCAGTCCCACTTTAGAGAGAAGCAGCAGGGATTCCTTTTTCATCTCCTTTCTTATTTTCCCTTCTTTCTCTTCTGGTTCTCCTCATGTGCTTCCTCATGTGCTTCACGACGTCAGCAGGTACCAGAGCACTATGTTTTCCCTCGTAGCCCTGTGTGAGCCTCAGGGTGTCCGCCTCCACTAACATGTTATATCTGAAACAATCCAAATCCTCCAGCAGCCTCTCAAGCTCGAGTCTCACTGACTCTCGCTCACCTTGGCTATCAGTGTGTCGATGAGGTTTTGGTATTGTCATTCTTTACTATGATTGTATCCCTACTCTGTGTTGCCTGCCAAAGTTAATATGTGAATCTTCGGTGCTACAGAAACCTTAACCTTGATTCATGTGATTTTCAGTGAAGCGTGAACTCATTCTAGGGAAAAATCCCTTTTCTGTAGTGTGAACGTTTGGTTAGAAAGAAAAGGCATGAAGGGAAACACTGACCCTTATTTAGAGTAGACAAAGGTGTGCACAGTCTTGGTCGTTGCATGTCACCTCTCTCTCTCTTCTCTATTTGCTGTTGCAGGAAAAAAAAAATCTTTAAAAAATGTCTTTATTGGATTTGGATGTTTATTTATTCATTGGTTATTGTGCTGAGGGCAAACACATAAGCATAGAATATTCACTGAGCAGAATAATTTGCAATTCTTGTCCCCAGATGGGCTTTTATATAAAGCAGATACATGCAGAGTGCAATAAAATACATTCAAAATGAAATAAAATATCTATGCAAACAAACAAAACACATAACAAAAAGAAAATAAATATTATTAGTCAAATACCATAAAATAACACACCTTGTCACATCTACCATCTATGTTGGAATTGTTTTTCAGAAACAGCTTCAACTTGGACTTAAAATGTTCCCAGTTATGATTAACTTTGCTATTGTCTGTTCAAACGAGGATTCACAAAATACACTTTCCTTATTACTCTCCCCACCAGGTGTGAAAATGAAAGTTACAGGGCAATTCTAAAAAATAACAGCAGCTTTCATATCCTTCCCTTTACACTGGTGGAAAATAACTAGGTACATTTCCTCTCTTTTTTCAGTGCAATTGTTTACTGTATGTCTATGAAATGTCCCAGATGTTAGTTAGGTTAGGCTACTTTATTTGTACCCGTAGGTAGATTTGTTTTGCCGCAGGCTAACACACAAACAAATATGACATAAGACACACAATAAAACATAATGAAAGTACTCAGTGCTCCCCCAATAAGGACAATACAGTAAATGAAATATCAATAACAATCACTCAGATTAACTAGAAAAGTTTTACTACACCTTATTAATCTCAGTGATAGCAGCAGGAACAAAGCTGTTTATCAGTGAAAAAACAGTATTGAAAAAATGCCCATCACATCCTCAAGCAGCCTTAGAGGCATCTTTATGTCTTTGTTTTGCTTTTATATGGCACAGACATATGGTAAAGACAAGCATCAGATCCCTTATATTTAGAAGCTGGAGGCAAGAGTATTTTGACTAAAATGATTAAAACTATTTGCTGCCAAATAATGACCAGTATTTTATTTTTGTCAGTTAATTATCTACTCATTTCAGCTGTGTTGCTACACATATGTTAAAGTGTGAATGCAGGGCTTTAACTTGTAACAGATTAATACTAGAGTGTGGTGTTTATACTTTTTCTTAAGTAAATTATTTGGAAACATCCTTCACTGCTGTCTCTGGGAAAATAAAGGTAAAAAAATATTACACCTGAGTGACTGAGCCAGAAACCACTGTCACTGAACACCTCTACCTATGTGTTTCAATATGCAGAAGAATGTCCTTTTGCTTGCATCCAGCGTTAGACAGTACGTATAAGATGGACAGCTGGTGCTAGAAAACGCTGTGCTCATACTGGTTATTGATATCATCAGTCAAGAGGAGGATGAGTCATGTGGTCTGATGTTGTTTGTGGCCTGTTGGGAAATTGCAATGGAAATGTGATAAATGACTGCATGTCAGTTTAACCTCATTTGTTGTTAGCTGGTTGATATTGTCATTACTTTAAAGTGCCATGCCAAGCTGCACGTAATGTTTAATCCTTCACCAGTTGATTAATGTGGTTCTGATATCAGGGAGGACGGTGGTGTCAGCTCTCTGTCATGGCCATCAGTCGTGCTTGTATTGTCACTCCTAATTAAGCCTGATGATTGTTTCTCTCATGCTAATAAAAGCCTATTCGATTTATAGATGAATGACGGTCTTCGGGCTTAATTTTTGTGCCTGTTTTGTTG